TGTACATTCACTCCCCCCACCCACAATCCCTGCCGGTACGAGACTCAAACCCGCAACCTTTGGGTTACGAGTCAGAATCTCTAACCATTAGGCCACGACTTCCATGAAAATTCATATCATAACAAAAATAAACACCGGTATTCGGTATGAACCGGTATACCGCCCAGCACTAATATATACAGTAAAAATATACAAACTGTATAGATAAATATAAACATAATATATAAATATATACTGCATATATAAAATAAAACTAATATTCAGTAATTTTATATAAAATATAGATAACATTACATAATACATATAAAATATCAAATTCATTGTTATATTCCATAAAATTACTAAAACATGCATAATATATGTATACATGTATAATTTTAGATTTTTATCATAATGTTATAGAATTATATAAAATAAACTAATCATATTCATTTATGAAATTATTCAGTATAAATACCTTTAATTAAAAATAACATTATATAATACATATTAAATAATAATTTTATATAATTATATAAAATGAAATTCTATAAAACTATTAAAATATGCATATATATATATATTTTTTTAAATATATACAGTAAAAATATAAAAACAATGTAACTTCTAATTGTTGGTCACTGTTTATACTGATAATATAAATAATGAAAAAAGCACAGCTATGTAGGAAATCGTTTGCCTTGGACAACAATCAGTTTATACTGTGTAGAATCATTATAACAAAAAATAAGCTGACCCCAGAATGCCACAATTGACCACCAATCAGAATCCAGCAGACAGTGCTAAAGACCACAGAGTAGTCCAGTATGTGACCATTATGAATTGAAACATGCATCTCTGCCTCCACTACACTGAATGATAGAACAAAAGCTACATTATTCAGTCAGAATAATTTTATAACGCTATTTTTCAACTTATTTATTTATTTTGTGTTATTGAGCCACTCTGCTCCAGACACACTCTCCATCACTGCTCCTCCCAGGGGTTTGACACTTCCTGTTTGTACACTTCCTGTGGATTCGCTAGTCTCCTTGACAACAGTGGGCGGAGAAGAGGTTTCCTCTTTAACGTGATGGTCTATGATGGCACAAATCATTAGTCAGAATTGACTGCGCCAGCAAGGCGTCTCTCTCTCTCTCATCCTCAGGATAAGTATTGACCTCTTCTTATTGGCAGCCTCTCTCTCTCCCGTCTCTCGTGAAGCCGTTTCTGGCACATCAGGAGGCTAATTAACACCGCCTATGACTAATTTGATTAAAATGAGCCTTCTTTAGTGCGTATCGGAGGAAATTTAATCCAATTTATAAAGGGAACTGTATAACCTATGCTGGACTAATTACAACCAATAAATGCATGACATCTGCAGGGAGAACAGAGCGCGACGCATTATGATCCTGCGAGGCCCCGGGGCACCTTGGCTGTTTGGAGGCCCCCCTTTGGTTCAATTTTGAAATGTAATGGGCAAATAATGGCGAATTATGTCACAAATATGAGAAATACTTGTGTATTATGAGAATTAACAAACCATGTGAATAATACATTTAAGCAACACAACAGTTGCAAAGATTAGACATGAATTATGAAAATGAAACATTGAAAGTGGGAGCAGCGGGGTAAAGTGCGTCAGATGCTTTAGGGAAAGCTGTGCCAATGTGAACGACTGAAACATTTCAAGTGGGGGCCAATTTTCCTTCCATTCAAATAAAATGAGGAATTTTCTGTACTGACGAAGCAACATCAGACAATAAGCCTGGAGAACTGCAACATTTCATACTTGTCTATAAACTAAACAACAGCTAAAAAGTAGAATAATTATATTTACATTTATGCATTTAGCAGACTTAGCATATTAAACTTTAAATGCCTGGTTTAAGGATATGTTTAAGAAAATGTGAATAATAATAAAATGAAACTTTGAAACATAACAGTACATTCTTATATTGTATTTAAAAAATGAATGAATGAATGAATGAATAGAAATGTACAACTTTTGAATATTATACTTTGCATGCCTGGTTCACAGTTGCTTTAAGGAAATGTGAATATCTGGCAAAATACAATTTTGAAATATAATAGTGCATTCTTATATTCTATTTTTCCTTTAATACAATACAATATAAATATGACATAAATAATAACAAATATTAAATACAAAAATAATAAAAAATGTAATAAACAAAATATAAATGAATCGTAATTAATATTACACTTTGCAGGCCTTGTTTACAGATATCTTTAACACATAAAAGTGAATAATGGTTAGTAAAATAAAACTAATACTAATGCATTATAATATAGTATTTTTAATATACAATATAATATCGTATAACATTATATATAGTGTGTGTGTATACATACATGCATATATAAATACACACACACACACACACACACACACACAATATTTACATGTATATACATTTATATATTTATATTCTTATATTTGATATTATATATAAATATACTTAATATATAAACATAACACAGTTTTCTTAAATATATACGTGCATGTGGTTGTATTTATATATACATAATAAACATACACAATATACACACATATATTATGTAAACAAAAACTTTTATTTTGAATGCAATTAATCTTTTGACAGCACTAGAAATAAATAATAGAATGAAAGCGCCCACAAAACACTATTTTCTTTTCTTTTCTATTTTTATTATTATTATTATTATTAATGCCAAGGTACCAAAGATAGAAGTACAGAAAATATCAACATTACGTACAAAAAGGTGAAATTACACGCAAAGCACCGTTTATACATGCATATAACACTGAATAAATAGTACAAAACTAAATTAAAACAAAATTAAAGCACACACACACACACACACACACACACACACATATATATATATATATATATATATATATATATATATTATATTATATTATATTAAACTTTATATGTATGTTTATGGATACCATTAAGAAAATGTGAAAGAAAAAAATGTGTACAATAAATCTTACTAGTTAGAAAAAATATATAATATAATCAATAAATATAATATAATATAAAATCGACGTATTTTTGGCATTTTATTTTAAAGAAAATTGTTTTCGCATTCCCCAATGATTTGACTTTTCTCTTGACATGACACAGCTTACCCCTAATGTGTCACAGGACACACTTATTTTTAATTTCTAAATGTACAATTTAATTCAAATTTCTATATTTTTCTCACTTCCTGTTTTACCATAGGACAACTTCAATAAAAACGCCGCCGCTCACCCCATCTCTGCAGGTTAAGGTGTCTTGGTAACATCAATATTGGTTCTTATGACTGCGACTGACCTGCGACCAGGGAGTTCTGTGCGGCTGACTGCTCCAGAAGCACCATATGCTGCAGGAGAGTGTTGTGTGCCGAGCCGCCCTCCCGCTCTAAGGTGGAGGCGGCCAAGTAAGAAGACAGGTGGGCTCCTGGCATGAACGGAGTGGTTATGGGTATTCCTGGCTGCAAGCCTGGCACGGCCATTCTGTTACCATCCTGTTGGCCAGATGCCACCTATGTAAATAGAGAATGAAAGAGCATAATTCCAAAAGAATCTAGGGCAAAGTAGAGAGGACATTCCCCTGTAAATTATGTTTCTCTTGCGTCAGAGATCCGCGGTCAGTTATTGTCTCTCAAAAGGCTCTTTTTGACATGGCACTGGTGCTGAAAGCCACATGTGGCACCCTGACGGTCCAGACAAGGGCCTCTCTATGACGGAGAGAAAGAAAGAAGGACTCACGCTGGAGGGGCCGGTGGCTGGCAGGCCCAGGGTGATGTTGGGAAGGGAGGGCGATGTGTACAGAGACAGCTGGCTAACAGGACCCTCTCTGCCTGTGAGTCTGTGCGCCAAAGATGGCTGGAACGACACACACACACCAACATATGCACAGATAAATAAACCCCACTGATAAAAACAAACAGCTCTGTCTGGTTGCTCTCCGGACCCCTGCGGGACCCGTCTACAGAAGGAGACTGTGCACGGCTTAAAAACATGCATGGAAACAGCCAGGAAAATCACAGAACACTTCCCAAAGCAACAAGTGTGGCCACCAATAAAATTGAGCTAAAATGTGTCCTAAAGATGAAGCATGCACAGACGTAAAGAGATTTAGAAGTCCATTTAAGAATACAGCAATAAGCCTCAAGAGAGATGTCATGTGCTGCAGTAATTTTATCCTGCTTAAGTGAATGAATCAAAGTGCCTAATTAAAAAAAAAAATTAAAAAGGGCTTTTGTAAAATGGTGGAAAAAGTAATATTACTGAAAACACAGATGTTCAATAAATAATGAATTTGTATTGTTAATAATAGTCATCATGAATAATTTGTATACCAATCATTAATCTAACTCTAGATTACTTACAATCACGAAACAATGTTGCAACTTCATAGCAAATTTTAATTTGTAATAATTTTATTACAATTGGCCGTATATACATTTGTATTATTAATAAACATATTTATAAAAATATAAAAATCAAAGCAATTAAATTAATGCATATTATAATATAATACATTATATTAATAATATAATATACTAATTTATTATTATATTATAATTGTATATACTACAACTATCATATATTATAATTTGACAATATAAGGATGCTTTTGCACTGATGTCTGAATTATCATTTTGAATGATGATTTGTGAATAATCTATTAGTTTGTGAAAAAATTAATTAATAAAATAAAACTATATTTTTTATTAGGAATTAAATTCAAGCATTTAGTTCACTGGATCATCCAAAATTAGGCATTACCACATAAAACATAATATAATTTTACATTGCCAATTATAATAAATACCAGGGATTCCAAAACATTTAATATATTAATAGATATAAATAAATGATAATAATAAATTGTGCACAATTCTCTGACATTCATACCACATGCAGAACAACAAATATAATATTTCATGCTTTTAATATTTTTTTATTTGTTTTTATTTAAACATTTATTTTACAAATAATGAATTCATTATTTATTTAATAAATTATTATTTATTTAAAATATTTAATTTGACATTTTTATCATTTAATTATTTATTAGTTCTTTATCAGCTCACAACCCCCCTGTCGAACCCTAGTTTGGGAAGCCATGATAACTTTATCAATAACTTTAACGTACCGCAAACCCCTTCATGCTGCCATGACCTTAACCAACTGTGGGGAAGCATGCAGTGCACTGTACCTCCACTGGACTGTTGGAGATTGATCCAGCGATGCCGTTCTCATTGGTAATATTGTTTGAACTGTTGTTGGGTGAACTTGGACCAGAGCCAGGCGCACTGCTGCATGCCGATTCTGAGAGAAAATGGACTTGATTAATTAGGTGTCAGTCAAGAATGAACGTAAGTTGGAGTCACGGCCTAGCAGTCCCTCTTAGCAGTGCATGCAGAAGGTTCTGCCCATCACTTTTTGGCATTTCCTACTTTCACTATGAATTAAATGTGAACGATGTTCAAGACGGATCCTCTCACCTGCCATGTCGAGAGAGCGCTTCTTTGCACTGGTGACCGGCCCATCCTTCCTCCGAAGCAGCGGGCTACTCCTGCGCTCCGTAACTTTCTGCTTCAGCCTGGATCGCAGCTTCAGGTTGGGCTCAGATGCTGATGAGAGATGGAAAGAGGACAGGCATCAAATTAAAGCAAGAACAGGAAATGTAGTTCATATTGCAACACTTTAAAATAGCAGGATGTGTGTAGATAGAGCTGTTTGACATTAAAACCAAATAGACTACATTTACACTTAGGTGTGCTCAAAAAACTTTGTAATAATAACAAATAATAAAAATAAATATATACACAAATAACCCCCCCCCCAAAGTAAAATAAATAAATAATTACATAAATATAAATAGCTAAATAAAAAAATAAAAGTATAGAAATAAAAATTAATCACATAAATATACTAATATATACATACAAATTATTACATTATATATATACACATTAAAATCCATCTGAAACTAATCGGATTCTCCACTGAAAAAGATTTCTGGTCGTAAGCAGTGAAAAGGTGGCTTTTTGACCGATTCTGCAGAATACAACTGTTAAATAACCAGGAAGTTTGACACTAGCTTGACCTGTCCCAAGCAACTAATGAATCCTTATTAAAAAAAAAAAAAGGCTAGTTCGGGTCACTCATTATGCTTGTGAATCCAGATTCCAGTCGAAAAACAATGGAGCAAACCAGCATCTGAACAACTTCCAGCTTGGCACAGCAACTTGCCCAAAAGTTTAATCAAGTCCATCTAAGTGTAAACACTGCAAATGAATACCCTCGGCCGAGAAGGCTTTCAGTTAAACAGTTTGCAAACACAAGCTCTTGGAGTGTGACGTAGCGTGTCAGAACAGGCCTGCCACTGAGGCGGCGCACAGGCCTGGCCAGCAATTACCAAAACGAAAGTTGACCGTGAGGGTCACGCCTGTTTGAAACTGTCATTCAGGCACGGACGTTTCGCCCATTAGCCACTGCTGACATTTTCACCTGCTCACATACTCCAACAAAGGCTTCTCAATCCCTCTCTTGCCCCAATTGTGCTGTGGCGCTTGATCCTTGCTCTGTTTGTGACCCCGTGTCAAAACATGTACGGCCCCGCAAGAAGAGCACGCAAAGTTCATTAGGAGCAATACAAGCCTGGCCACTTTAAAGTGCACTCAATAGTCATTTGGAACGGAACCTCATGCACCTTTTGCCAACTGCAGACATTTACATGAATAAACTTGTCAAAGTGCTCAAATCATACACATAGTGTTGATGGACCGTGTTATAGTGTAAAGGATAAGTGTCTGTGACCCGTTAAAAATACTAACATTTGTTTCCCGGGGATTAATTTTACATGCGCAAAAAGCAGCAAACAACAGAACATGAGGATTCACATGCATCACATCACGCACCTGCAGCGCTTCTGCGAGCGGAGAAAAACATAATAAAGCTAAGCTATATATATACAGTCGTGGTCAGAATTATTGGCACCCTTGGTAAATATGATCAAAGAAGGCTGTGAAAATAAATCTGCATTGTTAATCATTTTGATCTTTTATTTAAAAAAATCACATAAATCTAACCTTTCACTGGAGAATAGGAATTTAAAATGGGGGGAAATATCATGACATAAATGTTTTTCTCGAATACACATTGGACACAATTAACGGCATCCTTTTATTCAATGCTTTTTGAAACCTCCATTTGGCATAATAACAGCTCGGAGTTTTCTCCTATAATGCCTGATGAGGTTAGAGAGCACCTGACAAGAGATCAGAGACAATTCCTTCATCCAGAATCTCTCCAGACCTTCAGATTCCCAGCTCCATGATGGTGCTTCTCCTCTTCAGTTCACCACACTCATTTTCTATAGGGTTCAGGTCAGGGAACTGGAATGGCCATAGCAGAAGCTTGGTTTTGTGCCCAGTGACCCATTTTTGTGTTGTTTTTAAGGTTTGTCTGGTTGGAAGACCCAAACATGGCCCATTATAAGATTTCTAACAGAGTCAGTCACTTTTTGATTTTTTATCTGTTGGTATTTGATAGAATCAAAGATGCCATGTATCTAAACAAGATGTCCAGGACCTCCAGCAGAAATATAGGCCCACAACATTAAAAATACAGCAGTATATTTCATTGTACACATGGGGTACTTTTTATCCCTGTGTGCACCAAACCCATCTTGAGTGTTTGTTGCTAAAAAGCAAATTT